CTGTAAGATCCTACCTCTTCAGTTTATTGGGGATGAGACTTTTCTGCCTTCTTGGCCCAGGCCCTGCTTCTTTGGCACTGGCCTAAAGTTCTTTTTTTATAAGATCCTTAGGCAATCTCAGTCTTGGTATACTAGGAAGAACAACTGATTAACACAATTATGTTGTCGCGTTCGCCTTTGACCAGCAATGACGACGCAACACCAACGCTCTTCTTCTAGCAGTTTATTCAGGAAAACTTAACATTCTTTTTCTTCTACCCCTGGGGAGCACCCGTCCCTAGAATAAGTACCCCCGAACCAACCAATCACGGATAGTCATGTGGCGAATGCGGATAGGTACACGTAAGAGGGGGCAGAGCATCAGACACATCACAGCCAAATAAGGAGTTGTTTATCATAAAGAGCTCTCGCCGTCGGGATGGCGGAAGGCGGAAACCAGCGCCATCTTTAAGGCGCGGCACACGCAGCTCTCCACATTATGTCATCTTGGCTAATGCAGTACAATCAGCATAACAGTAGCATCATACAGCGTAGAAAATGACAAACTGTGGTAACTTGATTTGCCACCATATGAACTAGATTTGTGGTTATATAACAAATCTAAAACAAACCAGAAAATTGTATGCAATAAGAAAGCCCTTAATATGGAAATATTACTCTTAGGGGAGAAGATTTAAAAGGAGTTAGGGGAGGGAAAATAGAGAAACACAAGAAGAAGAAGGAGAGGGAGAGGGAGGGGGAGTGGGAGGATCATACAAGCTTTGGGAAACTAGTGAAGACAGGAAAGAAGGAGAAAGGAAGAAATAAAAACAAGAACAGAACAACAACAAAATCTAGAAACTGTTCAAATAATCAAGAAAAAAACCAGAAACCAGAAAAGAAAAAAGAAAAAGAAAAGTTCAATTCAAAGCATGTCTCTGCTATCACTGCCAGAGAACATGGCCAGACAGAGTACAGACTTGAGTTGATTAATCCCAGCAAGTTAGCCATAGCTTTACGGTGGGGTAGTGGATAATCCCAGCCAGTCTCCACCTTTAGTTCCACTTCCACTGAAGTTCAAGCTGAAACTGGATTTGTTGAGCCTGCAACAGTTCTTGTGCCTCCTGCTGGCTCGAACTCAGCTCCCTGCTGATTTTAACTCCTGACCTTCCACTGACTTGAATTTGGCACCCTCACTGAGATACTGGGAGCCACTAAATGGAGTCAGCCCATAGATGTTCTGAGTTCTGACCTCAGTTGGCCCCTCCAGGATGGTTACTGGTCAATTGCCCTCTCCTGGGTGATGTCTGAACCTGAATAACATCAGCCACTGCAGTCCACTGCGTCCACTGCTCCATTCCACTTGTGCATTTCTCTGTGGAGGCCTCTGGGGTTGCCAGTAGTCACCATGTGTCTGCAGGTTTAACCTGCCATTCCCACACCATGACTCTGGGCTCTGGGAGAAAGTGCTGCTTGCTACCTCCCTCCTCTTTGTTGAAGACTCTCTCTTTGCTCTCCCTGTGGACTTCAATTCTTGATTCAGATCCTTCCTGAGTCCTGGGGACCCATTTCCTTCCTTCCTTCTCCTCACACTGCTATATTCCAGTGTCAGAACACAAAATCTCAGAGAGGCTCTTTCTCTGCAACTCACCCCTCCACCATCTTCCCAGAAGTCCTCTAGAAGGCTCCAGTCTAAACCAGATATCAGTTGAACCCTGACCAGGGGGAGCAGGTGTAGTCACAACAACCAGGAGGAAGCTAGTCCACAGGCCAAGGAAAAGCTTGTGGAGCCCTGGTCACACAAGGGGTATGTGCTCTGAGCTATTGTCTGTCCCTGCATTTATCTTGTCAAGAGGGCTGGCTGGCTGCATCAGGCAGGAGCTCCAGGGCTCTGTTGGCTGGTGCTAACACCACTATGGCAGCCTCTAATTTTTTGGTGACTGCCACATAAGTCTCTATTGTTCTGCAAGCATATGGCTAATACTAGACAGAGCTGTGGCAGAACAGCTATTTAGGATCCAGACTTGTGAGCTGACATCAGTTTTCTCCTTGACAACTCCTGACCAGCAGGTCCCTTTCTTCCCCAAACTTGTGATCCTCTTGCCTCCACCTCCCAGAGTGCTGGGATTACAGGTTTATGTCACTGTGCCTGGCTCTGTCTTCTATTTTATGGGCATGATCTTTAGAAACAGGAACAAAAACAGTTTTAAAAATAGGTTTGCAGGACTGAAAAGAGTGCTCAAGGCATCTTGTTTTATTCATTAACCATTAAACATGAAAAGGCTCCCTGGGCCTTTTCCCTGGCCCAGGAGCAGGATCTCTGGAGGGGATGTAGGAGTGACAGGGCATGAGCTACCCTGCAGAACCCTGATGCCTGGTTGGAGGAACTCCTTCCTCCTCAGTTCTTCTTGTCCCTCACAGTAGCCCCTCCTTCACAGCTCTTGGCAGAACTGGCTGCCTCCTTCTTCCAGTTCAGTTTCCCGCTGTTGAGGGGTATGTTCTAGCTTGTCAGGATAGTCTTATTTCTGGCTTACAGCCAGGTCAATGATCCTCAAGCTCTGAGTCACTAACCGTTGGTGCCCCTACCATCTATGTCATCTGTGATGTTACGCTGGGAGAACAGAGCAGAGCTTGTCTCCCAGCACATTTCCTGGCATCTGGTGCACTGTGCCTATGGCTAAGCAAGCACCTTTTTTTGGCCATGGTCATCCTACCTCCTTGAAGCTATCACAGTAAGCTGTGTCCTGGGTTTTGTCTCTGGGGACACACCAGATATTTTGCTGTCTTGGCAACACCCTGTACTGTCTGGGACCTTCCAGTCTGATAACTAGCAAAAGTGGCTGGAGGCACTATGGGAGGACCACTTTTAGGAACCTGTTTTGACCCTCAGTGGTTGCTGCTGTCCAGCACAGAGTTCATCTGTGCAACCACTTCCTCCTCAGATCCCTCTGTGTTTGCACCTGGTGTCCTGGCTGTATCGCAACCTTGTGGTTTCCTTGCTTCCCACTTAGGCAGCCTCCATGCTGTGCTTCTTAGGTACAAATGTTTGTTTGTGTCTGCTGCTCTGCCTTGAGACCTTCTGTTATTGTGTACCTCTGTGGCCCTGTGGCCCTGGTTAGCTTCATAGTCCCTTTCTCACATTGCTGTCAGAAGATAGGAAGAGGAACAAGAATAGGCTTGGGGGCACAGGTAAGGCAGCCATCTGAAAACAGGTCTCTGCTCTGACACTTCTGTTGAAAATGCTGTGTCTTCTTAGAGCCTACCAGGTAATGTCTCCGTCTCCAAGATGGAGTGCCTGCCCCATGCCAGCTTCAGCATGTGTACATTGGATCTTTGTTGGCCTCCCACCTGTGTCAATGCCTTTCTTGTTTACAAGTCTGATCCTGCACTGTGTGTAAGCTGGTTCTTAAATTACTGTCCTATGTCATGTCATTTCTCTTCCTTCTCTTGTGGCCCCAGGGACCTTTCCCCTTGTTCATCTGCTCCACCCCTGGTTGCCATGCAAGCAAGAACCTGTTGCTGCCTTATTGCCAAAGTTTAGGCTTTAGGAAGCAGAAGGTAGGTAGGCACTCCAATTATGCTTATTGAGTAAAGGATCTAGCAGTGTAATGGGTCTTTTTCATTTTTCTTTCCTTTTTGCAGTACTGGGGATCAAACCCAGGGGGGTTCTACCTTATCGCTTTTTTAAATTTTTAAAAATTTATTTATTTATTTATTTATTTTTAAAATTTTATTTTGTATTTTGAGACAGGGTCTTACTAAGTTGCCCAGGTTGGACTCAAACTTTTCATTGCTGCCTCATCCTCCTGAGTAGCTGTGGTTATAAGCATGCACCATTGCACCTGGCTCTTTTATTTTATATTTTAATTTTTTTGAGATAGTCTTATTATGTAGTTCAGGCTGGCCTTGAACTCTCCATGTATCCCATGCTGGCCTTGAACTTGCAGCCATGTACCTGGCCTTTGTATGAGTTCTTTAGGGGTAATAGGTGTGATGCTTGCAGCCCTACATGTGTTCTTCTGTACTTGGGCTTGGTTGGTTTATGTTTGGAGTGGTGAGAGTGCTTTCAAGCATCATTTGGGCTGCATTTGTTTATTCTACTCAGAGCCCTGACAAGGCTTATTTGTTCATCAACAAGCCCAGTGCTGGGAGGACAGGTAGGAAAGAGACTCACTCTACAGGGAAGAAGGCAGGCTGTTGAACAGACCAGAGCAGCTAGTCCTGATGTGTTCCTATTTTTCTAGTAATTATACACCTGTTCTTTCTGTGCGTGTGTGTGCATGGGGGAGGTAGTGTATGCTATCACTCCAGGAGAGCTCAGCCTATCTTGTATGCATGGCTCTTTATCCTTTGGAGCAGCAGTGTGATGTAAAACCTTTAGTAGGATTTTCTGTCTTATTATACCCATGTTGGCAAATTGTTTTTAAGATGCTTTGCACATTTGTGTGATCTGTCTCTTGTTATTCCCAGCTAAAAGTTGTTGAAGTTGGGGCTAGTCTCTCTGGTCCCATTAGGAGAACATGCATTGTCTCACATAGGGACCCTTGCCTTGGGAGAGACAGAGGTGAGTTTTTTGCTCCTTTCCATTTTATAGTGGAGGAATCTGGAACTGAGGTCCCATTGTGCTCAGTGGCAGAATTGGGTAGGGACCTAGTTCATTCAAAGGGCAGGAATTAGAGGCTGGCTGGCCACCCTAATGGTCTAATACATGCTTGGTTTTGTGCTGGGTGTAATCAGTCTGTAGGGATGGACTCACCTAACCCCTCTCATGCCAGGGGCTTCCTCTTTGTTTCATGGTGACCATCTTTCCTATTCATTTCTTCTTATGGCCCTCCTCTGTTACTACTTTGCTCTGGTGAGTTCACTTTCCTTCAAGCCTCTCTAGGACCTCAGCTGGTTGGCGTGCTAGGGACAATACTTTGTCCACTTAGGGATAGCTGCTGTGCATGGCCTGCTGGTAGGTGCCCTGAAGAGCAGACCCGTTGGGGTGTGTAAATGTCTCTTCTCCTTTTGTGTTTCAGTGAGGATGCCATGAGGAAAGCTGGAGTGGCCCACAGTAAATCTAGCAAGGATATGGAGAGCCATGTGTTCCTGAAGGCCAAGACCCGGGTAAGGCCCTGTTGGTTGGAGCCCTGGTAGAGAGGCTCAGGGAAGGGAGTATTTCAGGTTCTGAGAAACTTCTGTGAGGGTTCTGGGAATAGGGTGATGATTGCTCATTGATTGTGCACACAGTTGGCTTTGACTGAAGTGCTCTGTATCCTCCTGTGTGTCCATGGAACACTGGGTGGCACTAGGAAAAAAGCCTAGCTTTCAACCCTGGGTCTCACTGCTGGAACCTTCTATCTGTGGCCAGCCCCAAAGAATCCTACAGGGAGCTCACTTAAATCCTGCTCTGTGGAAGGAGGAGCACTGTAAGAAGTGACTCATTCCTTGACTTCAGCTCAATGAGGGAGGGTCCTGGCTGAAACCTACACGGCCTTGATGCATGGGTACAGAACAGTTCTGGTCCCCTTTTGTTTTTGTTTTTTGGTACCGGGGATCGAACTCAGGTTCTTGCGCTTGCGCAGCAGGCAGTGAAACTGCTGAGCTAAATCCCTGGCCCTCTGGTCCCCTTTTGTGATCCAAGGAGTGGTTGTTGAGACTGAGGCTTGGAACATCACAGAGTGGTGAGAAGGATTTCTGCTGTGTGGGTTCTTGCCCTGGGCCAGGTTGAGCTTAATGTGATCACCTCCCTTCATACATGAGTTCTCCCTGGGGAGTCATTTTAATAGAAATGAAGCAGGATGTCAGAAAAGAAATGTAGTAGAAGTGGGGAAAAAAATGTACTTATTTGTTGGCGCATTGATGCATAGGAAAGAGCTACAAGAGCAGACATACTGAGGTGGGACAGGGTGGGCTCTGCTTTGTAGATATGTCTGATTAAGCAATTTGTTTTCCTTTTAAGAGCATTGTCAAGATTGAATTCATATACTATACAATTCACCCATTTAAAGTGTACAATTCAGTTGTATAGAGTATTCAGAAGTTGTGTGGATTATTACTGCAATGCAATTTTAGAAAATTTTCCAAAAGAAACTTGGTACTCATTAGGACTCAACACCCTTCTCCTCCTAGCCATCAGCAATCACTTAACTACTTCCTGTAGTCATGGATTTGCCCACTCTGAACTTTCCATATAAATCCATACAGGAATGGGGATGTAGCTCAGTGTTAGAGTGCTTGCCTGTGTGAGGCCTGAGTCCAATCTCTAGGACTGCAGAACAAAACAAAACAAAAAAACCTTAAAAAAACAACAGTCATAATGTGTGCTTTGTTTAGTTGGTTGTTTTTTGCAGCTAGCTTCTTTCACTTAGTATGTTTCCAGGGTTCATCTGTGAACCATATTGTAGCATGTATCTGATTCCTTTTTGTTACTAAATAATACTCCATTTGTGTAATATCACATTCTATATATTCATTTATTACTTAATGGACATTTGGGTTGTTACCAATTCTTAGCTACCATAAATAATACTGCTATAAATACTTATGTATAATGTTTTTTGTGAACTTATATTCTCATTTCTTTTGGGTACATACCTAGGAGTAGAGTTACTGCAATGTATGATAACTCTACATTTAACTTTTTTTTTTCTTTTACAGTGCTAGGGATTGACCCCAGGCCTTTGCACTGTGTTTTTTTTTGAGACTGGATCTTTCTAAGTTGCCTAAGCTGAGTTCAAACTTGCTTTCCTCCTGCCTCACTCTGCCAGAATGCTGGGATTATAGGCAAGTGCCGCCATCCCTAGCTAGATTTAACCTTTTCGAGATCTACCAGGCTGTTTTCCAGAGTAACTGTATTATCTAAAATGCACCAATAGGTTATGAGGTTCAGTTTCTCCCCAGCACTTGTTATTGCCTTTTTTATTACAGCCATCACATATATGATTTTTGGTGGGTTTTTTTGTACTGGAGATTGAACTCAGGATCTTGCGCTTGCCAGGCAGTTGTGGTGCCACTGAGCTACATCCTCGTCCCCACCATCATATATAGTTTCTCATTGGCCTTTAGATTTACATTTGCCTGCTTACTGATGCTGTTGAGGATCTTTTCATGTGCTATTATTAGCTATTTGTATATTTTCATTGGAGATATGTGTATTTCTATCTTAGGGCCTCCACCCACCCCCCAGTACTGGGGATTGAATGAAAGCCCATTTCATTGAACTACATCTCCAGCCCTTTTCTAAATTTTTTATTTTGAGACAGGGTCTTACTAAGTTGCTAGGTTTCCAGGCTATGTTCAAACTTGGAATTCTCCTGTCTCAGCCTACCAGGGTGCTGGAATTATAGGTGTGTACTATCATGCCCAGCTCTTTGCCCATTTTTAAGTTGGGTTGTTGGTCTTTCTGTTGTTGGTTTTTAAATTATTATTATTATTAAATTTTATTTATCCCATTCACCCCCTTCATGTTGTTGGTTTTAATGGTTCTTTATGTGTATTTGGATATAAGTCTCTTATTAGATACATATTTTGGGGATAAGATATTTTTGTTGGTTTTGTTAGTTTATATTTTCTTAGAATTAACGAATTTTGATGAAGACATATTGAACTCTTTCACTTTTTAAAATGTAGACTTTGTTGGCTCAGTATTTTTTATTATTTATTAATTCATAACAAACAAACTTCAAACTTAATGGCTTACTGTAACAAGTTAGTATTGTTTTTGATTCTGTGGGCCAGAAGTTGGGACATTTGGAATTGCCTTGTTGGGCCATTCTGCTAGTCTCACTTCTGACTTCTCTTGTGACTGCTTTCAGGGAGCAGCTGAGCTGAGATCGATAAAGGATCCATCATGTGGCTGTAAATCAGTTTTTCCAGAGTGGCCTCCACATGGTATCTTTCTTGGTGTAGTTCAGATTTCACTGCAACACTGTGACTGGCTTTCAAGAGGAGAAAGTAGTACCTGCTAGTCCTCAGAGACTCTAGAACATCATTTGGATACAGGAAGTCTTAAGACCAGTGCAAAGTTAGGGTGTGAGCAGCTATCTCTGTATACAGGGAGGCCAGTGATTCTTGTGGGGCCATCATGGAGACTAGCTACCTCAGGGACCCTCCTGGCAGTTGAGGAAATAAGCCTTTCATCACAAAGAAGGTACCTAAGGGCCGGGGATTTAGCTCAGTGGTTCCACTGCCTGCCTTGCAAGCCCAAGGACCCGAGTTTGATTCCCGGTACCAAAAAAAAAAACCAAAGGGGGTACCTAAGAGCACAGCAGCCCCTCCCCATCACAGTTCACTCTGCCTTGGTCTCTGAATTACTACATATTGAATTACTCATGTTGTACCTTAATGAATTCAGTTAATTTCCTTTGATTAAGGTGACTCTACATCCCTAATTTCTAAAGGAGGATCTGACTAATTGGAAGGGAAGTATTTATGAGAGCAGTGTTGGAAAATTTCTGTCTTCTTACACAGACAGACATTATACTTGGACACTGTCATCTGACGTCTGCCTTTATACTCACTAATCAAACTCCACATGGAAGCAGATGCAAATTAAGTGCTGTCGAGGACCTTCCTACCACGTGGGCTTGTGAGAGGACTCTCAAGGTTAAGCTGGCAGCTCAGAACCAGACATGTTGGCACACACCTATAATACCAGCTTCTCGGGACGCTGAGGGAGTTTAACCCCCAGCGTTACAAAAAACAAAAGAAAAAATAGCTCAGGCACATTTGTACCTGCCCCTGCTGCCTGAGACTCTTAGAAGAGCTGTGGAAGAATTTAAAAGGAAGGACCTTGGAACAGGGAAGGGCAGAAAAGCAAGCCTTCCTTCTTCCTTTCCATTTTATATTCAGACAACAAGCGTAAGCAGGGTAGGTCTTCTGTCTTCAGTAAATCCCCTTATCCACACCTCAGAACTGTGTTGATCCAGTTTAGTTGGGCACTTCTTACTCAAGTTGACACAGTTAACTATCACAAGGAGGGAGATGACCTTTCCTTGGTACCTGGAAAGTGGGCTTATAGGTCCAAAGGTGCCACACTTTAGAGGACTGTGGCACTAATGGGCACCTCAGACTGTCTAGTACATACAATTTTGTGTACTCTTGTCTACATTAATCACAGAATTGCCAGGAGTAGGCATTTTATGTTAAAGCTTGAGAATGTCCCCTGAAAGCTTCATGTACTCATAGAAAGGGGTTTTGGGAGGTGCTAGAATCACGAGGGGACAGGGAGAGATAGTTGACTTGCTGTTAGGAAGTGGGGTCTGGTCAGAAGAGACAGGTCACTGATGGTGTCATCTAGAAGAGTATGTCTCCCTCCCAGCTTCTCACTTCTTTGCTTCCTGGCTGCCACAGTGTTGGCAGCTTTCCTTGTCCTTGTGATGGCTAGCCTTTTCAGTGATACAAACAGCCCACTGCAGCATGTGCCAAAGGTTTACCACCACTGTCTTAGGTCCTTCCACCATGCCATTTTCTGTTTTCTGTGTTTGAGTCTGCCAAACATGTACTGAAACTGTGAGCCAAAATAAACCTTTCCTTCTTTAAGTTATTAATCTCCATGTATTTTGTCCCAGGAACAAGGAAAGTGACTAAGGGCACATATCTCCAATGTAGATGTTAAGTCCCCAAGTTAAAGTCTTCCCCATTCTGACATTGGCTGGCTTCAGCTCTCATGACCAGATCCCATTTGTGGACTCTAAAGTGATGTTCCCTTGAAAGGTCATATCCTGAGTTCTTGTGACCCCATTTGATCTCTTATTCTTTCCCAAAGAAAGAAACTCGGATACAGCATGCTAATTGCCTTACCCAGAATGTCACTGGGCTGGGACCTAGTAGAGAGCTGGGATATAAACCCAGAAGTCTTTTAGAGCCGACACTGTTTGCCAGGTCTCTTCCTGATTCCCATCTACCAGAGCAAAAGATATTGAGACATTTACTTTAATTCCTGAAGACCTTAGTTCCTATGGTTGGAATTCCTCTCTGTCTAAAAGAGGCTGAGGGAAACAAATATAAATGTGCCTGAGGGTGGTGTGCTGTAGTGATAAAGGCAACTCCAGACACTCCAGCCAGCCTTCTGAAAGTTCTGGAAGACTTGGCATCCACTGGATGAGAAGGTAGTCAGGGTGCTT